TACTGAGATTTCCTTCAAACTGGGCCAAGAATTTGATGAAATCACTGCAGATGACAGGAAAGTCAAGGTAAGCAATAAGGATTTGGAGCAAAGGAAAAACCTGCCTTTTCTGCCTTTTACTTTATCTTTAAAATTTATTTTTTTTTCTTACATCGTGGTTAATTTTTGAACATTATTTGATTTCTCCCGGAAGGTGTCGTCCCATATTCCTCCCACCGCCGGCACCTGTGATCCATTTCTTCCATCCCTTAAGCTCTACCCTCTCCTATTTTTACTCCTCCTTCCTCCCCCTCCCTTGCTGTTTGCCCCAGACCTACGGTCAGCTAAAAAGTTTTGTCTGTTTCCTAACCTTTTGTTTGGTTTTCTATATTCCACATATAAGTGAAACCATCTGATATTTATCTTTTTCCTTCTGACTTATTTCAGGCAGCATAATCCCTTCGAGCTCCATCTATGTTGCCACAAATGGCATGAGTAATTCCCCCACTAGGAATCTACCCAAGGACACAAAAACACTAATTCAAAAGGAAACCTGCACTCCCATGTTTATAGCAGCACTATTTAAACAGCTAAGATATGGAAACAACCTAAATGCCCCAAAACAGATGAATGGACCAAGAAGAAGTAGTATATATACACGATGGAATACTAATCAGAGATCAAAAAATAGCCTGGCTTTTATTTATTTATTTTTTTATTTTTAAAGATTCATTTATACAAGCACTGGGTACAGTCAGAGGCACGGGAGGGTGAGAGAATTCACCAGAGCCAAAGAGTAGAACAGGCACAGTGACGAAGTACACTGCTGAGGGGAGCAGCGGGCAGCAGGAGACGTCTGCGCGCCATGTGGGACCCTCGCCCAGCGGCCAGGGATCGAATCGGCGCTGCAAAGGCTGTGGGCAGCTTCGCAACCCAGCGCTCAACCGCTGCGCCACCGGGGAGGCCCTAGCCTGGCTTTTAAATGTCCACAACTCATAAGAAAGTCATTTTCTAAAAAGGGAAAATTCGTCTCGTAATCCAAATATCCCTGACCGCCAATATCTAAACCATGTTGCCTTCAATATTTTGGTGAATTTCCCCTTCTTATAAAATTGTACTTATGCTTTTAAAAAAATATCAACAAAATTTATTTTTCAAACCATGCATAGAATATTTGAAATAAATTAGAGAAATATGTTAAAGAATTTTTATTTCAAAATGGGGGACAGGGCCTCCCTGGTGGCGCAAGGGCCTAATCCTCAGCACTATGAAGCTCTCAGCACCCACTGAAGCATGAGTTCGATCCCCAGCGAGGGAGGTAACCCACATGGCACAGCAGACCTGTCCTGTCTTTCCCGCTGCTCCTTTCAGCAGTGTATTTTAGTAGATCAGCCTGTTCTGCTCCCTAGCCTGTCTCTGGTGAATCCTCTTACCCATCCCTGCTCTGCACCTCTAGCCTAAACTCCAGCTCTTGTATGCATAAATAAATAAAATAAATCTTTAAAAAAATGGGGGGCAAAGAAAGGTAATCACCTGTTATATTTCCATTTTTACATAAATTTATTATTTCTGTTCCTTCAGTTTTTTTTCCAAATGCTTGTCTGTATAATATTGCTCATTTTATATATATATGTGTATGTATGTGTATATGTATATAATTTTATATGCTTTTTTGACACTTTTTTTCTCATCACAATATATTCTTGTAATTTAGAAATACTAATGACCTCAAAATGTTCTTTCAAATAATAGTACTGAGTACTGTACTTTTATTTTCTGCCATAATATATAAATGTTAATCATTTTTATTACCTGCAGAGCATCATTACCTTAGATGGAGGGGCCCTGGTACAGGTGCAGAAGTGGGACGGAAAATCAACCACCATAAAGAGAAAACGAGTAGATGATAAACTGGTGGTGGTGAGTATATTCCAGCTACTTAATTCTAGATCACACTGCAAAATCATCTCATGATCATTATTTTACCAAAAGAAACACATAATCACCCTTTTAATGTAGAACAAAAAGGTGATTCTGTTAGATTTATGGCTTTAATCTGGCAGTTGCCCTCATGTTTCTAAGCTCTCTTCAGGCTTATTGTCCTCTGGGAAGTAGTCCCTGGCCCATCAGCCTGCACCATATGTATAGTGCATTTCTGTTTAATAATTATCACTCACTTACAGATTGCACATTTCCTTGAGGGGATTTGTATCTTCTTGGTATTTATATTTCCTTAATATTATAGTATCAGATATACATAGCAGCCCCAAATACCTATCAAGTGAGTATTTTTTCCTTCCCAATATTGAAGACGATAAATAAATCCATGGTTTAATCTCAGTGATTGACTACGATTTTTTTTGTGTCTAGGAATGTGTCATGAAAGGCGTCACTTCTACCCGAGTTTATGAGCGAGCCTAAGCCAAGGGATCAAGGGACATTGATGGATTGAAGTTTGCATGGAACTCTGCAACATTCCATTGGATACATTGTCCAAACACGTATTATATTTCCCACTAATTAGCAAGCAACTAATTTTCCCCAAAACTGATTTTATTCAATGTAGCTGTGTTAGTTAAATAAATTTTTTTTGGTTTTAGAAGGTGATGTAATGAGTTATTTATTGTGCTAGAGAATTTCTTACTAATAATTCAGAGAAGGAAACAAAATTGTATTGTTTTGTTTCTTGTGTAATTTTTCATAATCATCTAAAACAAAAAATTTATGTTTGTGAATTTTCCATTGTCTTATGTAGATGATAAATAGGTGCTGTTATGTTCTGCTTCGGCACATTTACAGTCAAATAACCATTTCTCAGAGACCTAAGATAGTTTTAAATGTAGTGAAATTGTCCACAGCCAGTTGACTCAGGGCTGGCATTTCACCCTACCTGTCCTAGAGTGTTCAAAGAGACAGGTAGATGCATGCTATAGAAAAATGATTTGTAAACTATCATTTTTAATCTGAAAAATATTTGGTAAATAAGCTATTTCTGGAATCTCTCAAAAATTAAGGGCAAGTAATCCCATAATATTTATTCCAGAAAAGAGAAGTGACAGCCTTCAAATGAGTAATGACTCAAATGTTCCAAATTTTTCTTTTTCTTACCAGTGGAGCTTTCTATTCAAGTAAAATATTGAATGCATTCTGGAACTCTTTATTTAAATAAATCTCCATGGACTCCCAGTATATCAAACAAACAAATGAACCGATCATGAGATTTCCCAGGGGTTGTGTGTGTGTGTGTGTGTGTGTGTTATTCTCTCCCTTTTGTGGAATCTTTGGCTACAGATCACTGGAGTGTCAAGTACATAGAATGAAACTTCCAAACCACATACTTCTCCTTTATAGTGAGCCAAAATGTGTTAAAATGTGTGCTTTAGTTGATATAATTTGTTTTGTTTGTGATGCTTCCCTTAAAAATAATGCCAGAGATGTTTATTTCCTGAATTCCCATCCTATGTGTAACGCCAAGATATGGAGAGACCAAAAAAGGTGGGCTGAGTTTCTGATTGTAAGAATTTACTTCTTTGAAAACAGAGATTCACATTCTGATCTTGTGCTCACTAGAGGATTAGAGAATCAAAAGAGATTGGAAAGGATTGACTAGGAAAATTCTTTCTAAGTCAAAATGTATTAGGCACTTACTATGGAGCCAGGTAGTTTGCATCTTTACTTCATTTTTTCTTCAAAATAATATTATAAGAGGAATTAGTATTCCTACTTAAAGATGAGGAAATGGAGGCTCACCTTTGAGTACAATTTCAGCTGCTCAGACCCTTATTTTGAGCACAGGTTTCAGTTTCCTGAAACTGACTCCAGGGATTTTGTTTCCTCTGTTTTGTCTGCCAAATATTTTAATAACCATTCCTAGCTATAAAGATATTGGCTATAAATGTTTTTACATGTTTTATCAAAAGAAATTCTTTCCAAGTTGATTTACAGCTTCATGGTGCCAAAGCACAGGGTTTCTTCCTTTCCCCAAAAGATGGTTTGAATACATATTTCTTTGAATTGAGGGAGTATTTGACATAGTCAGATATTGGCATGAAGATTCTTTTTGCTATCATTTGGCACTTTAACTTTCCAGCCTTCTTCAAAACCACTGGAGTTCACAGCTGTGATACACATCTACAACCTGTGAGCCCTAAGGAGGTTCTTTGTAAAGTTCACATCTATTACTTCGATTGTGGAAGGTGATTTCAGAAGCAATTGTACAGAGATTTAAATTATTTGCTGCTTTTGTTCATCTCTTAGAATGCAGTTATTAACAGACCATATATCTCCCTAGCATTTCTGTCCACAATTTTAAATAGTACCTTTAAACAGCAAAATTATTTTATAAGCCTAAACTCTGAATTTTCCAAGCATTCACTCCACTTCTTTTTTAAAGCTTAAATCACAATATACTATTCAATGATAATTGTCACCTTTTTTTTAGTTTGCAATTACTCTTGATTAACAACAATGATAATATTAATAATAGCCTACATTTCATTCCAAATGAATGTTCAGTTACATTAAATAATATCAATTCATCAACCCTGCAAGGAAGGGAGGAGAGGATATTATTTTAATGAAAAGGGTACTCCGGCACTGTGACTTGTTCAAACAAAAAAAGAGCTGAGGTGGACCAAGCAAGGATGTCCTTGTATCAGGTACGAAAACACCTCAGCAGGGTGTTCATTAGACATTGTCGGGATATTCTCTCCAAGTTGACGTAGCAGTCAAGGTTCAAAAGACGGATGGCAATTGAAAATTGTCCCCATTCCACAAGTAATACTTATCAGGTGACACTTGGATGTAAATCTCTACTAGAAGCTATAATCAGTGGCTGAAATTCAACTCCACATGTTAATTTTCTGTTTCATAATTTGGAGGTAAGTAAAATGAGTCAATGCTGCTGCCTGGAATCTTTGGTCCTGCTGCCAAATTGGCTATTTGGCAATAGCTTTGGGCTGCTATTGGCTATTTCAGGAGAGTCACATGAGGGTGATGCCTTTTAAATTAACAGACTGGTAGCACTTCATTGCCTAAGTTCCTTCGACTTTCAGTTGTGAGTGCCTCTTCTTAGCAAGCTTTCCATGACGATGGAGCAGTTCTTGGGAACCTGGAAGCTGGAATCCAGTGAAAACTTTGATGAATATATGAAAGAATTGGGTGAGAAATACCATTACAAGATTTGGAAACTGGCATCTTTTTTTGTGAACTGCTTGAGTTTGCACTTTATAATGAATTTTCCTACAATTTTCTTTCTTTTGTGACTCTAGGGCATATACATAGGAGGTTAGCAAAGTCTTTGGATCTACCTTGGCTTTTTAAATTACTAGTAAAGTTTTCTATTTTTCAAATATTAGACCCACAGAAACTTCCTTCTTGTGGTTATCCAGATATTTAAACCCATTTTCCCTTTATGAAAATACATCATCCTAACCTCTTGATAGAGTTTCTCTTTTACTTGGCTGTTTCATCAGTTTTTTCCATCTTTACATTTGTAGAGAATAATAACTACTCAAACATATCAACTAAATATGCTTCAAGGTTTGTTTTAAGTTATAACTTCGAAAGAGCAATAACAAATAACAAAATTTCCACTTGATAAATTTTCAGAGTTCTAATAGACATTAGATGTATTTAAAAATATTAACTTGAAGAATTTTGATTTTTTTTTGTTGGAGAAATAGAACAATTTTACTCATTGACTATTTTAGCATAGAGTGGCTCTCAACCATATAAACCTTATGCTTTACCTTTTACTTAAATAAGCGTCAATATAATGACTTGAGTCTTTAACAACAAAGATGTTCTTATTACTATTATTTACTAGTCTTAAAAAACAGTAATTTTTAATATTTAATTAAGACATTTTTAATGTTTAATTAAGAGAATCATCTCCTCTCTTGCAATAATAAATTGCTTATGTAAAATCAAGAATTTTTTTAACTCGACTTTTTTTTTTTAACTTGGCTGAAATGATCAATGTGTGCTTATTAACCTATTAATGATATGTTTACTTCTTCCAGGAAATCACACAATTTCTTATCCTGCATAATAAAAAATCAATGTGCTTGTAAAATAATATTTGTTCCCTTTTATAGTTAGTATTAACTTTCTCAGGGTATATTAAGAAACAGTTCTCTATCTCTTCATGGTTTCCTAGTGTTAAGTTTAAATGTGAGGACATCTAAGAAATTTGAGGCTTATGGCAGGAGTAGCTCTTGTCAGTTTTGAGCTGAAACTGGGTTCAGGCAGAGCACAAGAGGGCATCACAGGTGATCACCTACTCCTGTATGTGTGTTTGTACCATGATCAAGTTAACTCCTTTGATTTCCTCTCCCAACACGCCTATGAGGTAAGTCTTACAGTTACACACATTTTGATATTGAGGAAACTAAAGATTAGAAAAAGAAATCACATACTCAAGCTACCTAGTGTTCTAAGTTGGAACCCACTTTAACCTCCTCACTCTTCTTTGTGATCTACAACTAATACTGCTGCAGTCAGATGCATCATGCCAGTTCAACAATCTGAATGTAAACTCGAGTTTGCAATGAATACTGGGAGAGGGACATCAGCTCTGCTACCATCATGCAGGAGTCAGGTTTGACAATGAAAAATTCTCATCCTGAGCATCAGGGTCAGTGTTTAAGCTAAATTGCCTACTTGGTCTACCTTCTTTTTACTTGGCCAGATATGAACTTAATCTGCAAGCGAGAAAGGAGCCTGGATTTTATAAGTCAGCTTCTTTTAGAGTAGATACATCAAAATTTGTATGTCTTCTTTTTAAAGTGTGCTAAAGTGCTTGGACAAATGGAAAACCTGTGTTTAAATCTCAGCTCTGCTATTTACTAGTCACATCACCTGGAGCAAGCCTCTCTTCCTCTCTGGGACACTGTGTACTGGTAGCTAAAATGAGGATAGTAACACCTCCTGCACTCATGTTGTAACACTCCATGAGATTAAATGCAAACATCTCATCATTGGAAAGGAACTATATAAATATGCATTTTTGATGAAGCACAAGCATCTCAAAAGTGCATTTAAGCTTTTCAAAATGTCAAGTGTAATTATTAGACATATTTCCTACTTAGGAGGAGGGGTTTGGTCAATCCAATTATTAGAGTGATCACATTGGAGAAATTAGGGCACATTGTCCAAAATTCCAACAGGAAGGGTATGCATTCTTTAAAAATGCTACCCCAAATGCTCTTTCTACTTCTTGTAAGTATCTTAAGATGGCATGTTGCTCATTCTATGTTGCAGGAGTGAGTGCTGCAGTCCGCAACGCAGTGGAATTAGTGAAGCCAAGCACCACTATTAGTGTTGATGGCGATAAGGTGAACATCACAACAGAAAGTTCTTTCAAGAACACTGAGATCTCCTTTAAGCTGGGAGAAGAATTTGATGAAACCACTGCAGACAATCGGAAAGTGAAAGTAAGCACCAAGTCTTCTGGTGTTCCACAATCAGGGGAAAACTAGAGAGTAGTTAGACATGGAGAATTCATATTATCAAATTAGTTTGGGTTGGTTTGTTCCTTAATATTATTTCTAAAACCAGTCATTTTGCTGCTTATTCTAATGCTTAACATTAAAAATGTTAACCTTCTGACTTATTTTTCTGATCTCTCATTTATCATACAAAAGATCATATAGAGGAGAACAATTATTCATAGATAGTTTAGGTGCCTGGATGAGAACACTAAGTAATCGCTTGATAATATTAAATTATAACAAGTACTGAGATAAGGATTTTGTAGAAAAGAATATCAAAATAGAAATTAACAAGTAGAAGTCTAGTCAGAATATAGAGAACTGTTATCTTTAACAAGTAGAAGTCTAGTCAGAATATAGAGAACTGTTATCTTTAACTAATTCATTCATGCATTTATAGAGCACCATAACATTAAGCGGTGACGTAATGATTCATGTCCAGAAATGGCTTGGCAAAGAGACAACAATCAAAAGACAAATTGTAGATGGAAAAATGGTAGTGGTAAGTTTTGTCTAGAGTGAATCTCTTAAATACTCCTATTTATGAATGCCTTTCAAGTTACACAAATCTTTCACCTCCAGAATGTGGGGTCTGGGAGATGAGGGCAGAGCAATTTTAACCTGTCACCTACCAACACTAATAGATCCCTCATTGCTTTTAGGAGTGTGCCATGAATAATACTGTCAGCACTAGAATCTACAAAAAGGTATGAAGAAAGTGTCTACTTCAGTGAAAACTTGGTTACTCACAGGAAACTGGATTCAAGAAGATATACATGAAAGCCCAGGATTGAAAACAAAGTTCTTAACATAATTGTTCAATAAAACCATGAAATCAAGTGTAGTTTTGGAACTATATGATTGATGATTAGGGACAATTGATAAATTGGTGAAGCAAGGAGCTATCCTGTGAGTGTAAAGCCCCCTTTCTCCTTGTCCACCTGACTTCCTCAGTCCTTGACTTCCCTCCAGTGGATTCATTACATTTAGATTAAGGCATTTTAGGGGACTCCCTGGTAGTGCAAGGGGTTAAGACGCAACCTATGAAGCTCACCACAAGCCACTACAGCACAAATTCGATCCCCAGCCAGGGAGGTGACCCACATGGAGCATCTAGTCAACCTCTCTTGACTAGCCCACTGCTCCCCTCAGCAGTGTATTTCAGTCGATCTGCCTGTTCTGTTCCCCACTCTGTCTCTGGTGAATTCTCTCATCCCCAAAAACTCTGACCTGTACCCCAGTTCTTGTATGTATAAATAAATAAATATTTTAAAAAATAATAATATATTAAGGCATTTTGTCAAAGGGTGTGCTGTTAAATCTTATGTCATCTTGAAGGGACATACCTTATAATAAGTGGAACCTACATTGGTAGTACAGATGCTGAAAGCCAACATAGATTGGTAGATAGACAGACAGACAGATAGACCAAGACAGACAGATAGACCAAGTAGACCCTGGACATTATACTCTGTGGTTGAACTAAAACAACCATCATCTTACTTATCCACAAACTCATTTAAATTCATCAGACTAAAACATCTGTCACCACTGTTTACAGCTTAGTCTTTGCAGAATGACATTTTTTTAAGTGCAATTCCTGAATTTCTAAATGTCTAGTAAGAATATAATTGGTGGAGCTATACAAAATCCCTGAATACTTTCACGAAATGCTGTTGCTAGGGAGTACTCTCAAAGCTTAGCCTAAAGCAATTTACATAAAATTAAAGGGTGAAGCCTAGAAAATGTAAGGGTATTTGTAGCAGTGAGAGGAAGAAAGAGAAAACAGAGGAAGAATTATACAAATATGTTATACCTTAAATACAAAAATAGAGAGGACTCGGTCAAATATAAATTCTGAGAGTTGGGTTTAATATAGTACAATATACATGTCATTTATCATCTAAACTCACAAGAAATAAAAAATGGAAATTGATACTATCAATAATTACATCTGGACAAGTACAAATTGTGACCATTTTATGCAAGTGAACAGTATGGTCCCCTTCTAAAGGAGGAAATTGAAAGATAATGTGTAAAAGGACTGAGCACAGGGTAGGGAAAATTATTAGTTCATGAAGAAGAAGTAAACTTGTCAGATTATACCCTGAAGACTCTGAGAATACGGTTGTGCCCGAGGGAGTGGTTTGGTGGTAGCCATCCAGCTGCCAGATTGTGTCTGTCCTCAATGTATCTGTCTTTCCTACAGGACTCAAGTGTGCAAAATCTAACTATATTTGCCCTCCAGAAGTCAGAGATATTCAAACCCCAAGGTAGTGTCCTGTGCACAAAGGGAAGGATGGGTCAACTTCTCAATCAGAGGACACTCTCCGCATGGACACTGCAGATGACAGCTGTTTTATCCACACCTCAGAACAGGGGATGAAGGGTTTTCCACAGCCATTCAGAAGGAGATAATACTTCAAAAAGCACTAAACATTTTCTTGCTCAAATCTAGCTTTATAGAGGCAGAAATAAAAATAAGAATAATGGAGTTGTGACTTTTCCAGACTTTTTCTCTCATAAAAGCCACAGCTTAGAGGACAATGAGCCCAAATGAAGAAAAAAAAAATTCTAAGTTGAATTTTTTGTAGTAAAATCAATCATACTTCTGCTAAGGAAATCATTTACTCAGCCATTTCTGACCCAGTGACCACTGCTCAGTACTGTGTGATGAGCTGACAAACAGCCATGAGTTACACTTGGAATTCATAACTGCCTGTTGGTATTATGAGAAGCAGAGGCATCTTGAAACGCTATTGTTTTTATTGTTATTTTCAAATGATATCAAAATTTCTGTAAGGAAAATATTCATTAAAATTTTAAGAGAGTCTTCAATCTTTGCTAAAGATTTTCATGTAAGCAATTTCTTGTTATACCTGACTTATTTTCGAAAGACACTAAATAGCTCTTAAGATCATATTTTTCAAGTTGCATTGGATTTATATATAAGGAAGGATAATAATGGAACTTTTCATCACAGTTAATTGAGCAATACAGTTGCATTATTTTTTCCCTTTCTAAAAGAGTTTGAAATAATGGAATCGAGAACAATTTTTATAAGTCACACAGGCAAATAAATTTTATTTTTGAGTGCTATTAGCCTGGATAATTTAACAGTAAACCATTATTTCAAATCTGCATTGAAGTTTGCAGGAAAGTATTCATTATTCAAAGATTAGTTATACTACAACCATGATTAGTAATATTATCAAGGAGTAATTCACCAGATTCCTTTTTTGTTTTGCTCACCACTACTTAGGAAATCACTGGCAAAATTAATTTGTTTTGAACAAATCAGTCTTTATGTATTTAATGCTCATATTTTATCCACAGAGATGCAATAAACATAAAGACATTTGTTTTTCTTTGATGGTCATGAAAAGACAACTGACTACTCTGAAGATAGTAACCAAAAGTAGATGGGAGGGCCTCCCTGGTAGTGCAGGCAGTTGAGTGCAGTGCTGTGAAGCAGTCTGCAGCCTCTGCAGTGCCAGTTCGATCCCTGCCAGCCTCAGAGCAACCCACACGGTGAGCAGACCTCTCCTGTCTTGCCTGCTGCTCCCCTCAGCAGTGTATTTCAGTCAGTCTGCCTGTTCTGTTCCCTGCTCTGTCTCTGGTGAATCCTCTCACCCTCTGGCATATCTGGCCTGTACCCCAGTTCTTGCATAAAAAAATAAATATTCAAAAGTAGATGGGAAATTAAGATGAGATTATAAATATCAGGGAATAACTTACAAGTTATACTTGCTTGAGATTTCTATTTTGAACATTTAGAGAAAAAATAGGTTGTCTACCTGGAAGTTTTGTACCTAGATCCTGTGCAATTTTTGGAGAGGTATAGGTTGGGGTAGGGGGAGGGACATCTAACCATTAGCTCCCTGGTAAAATTGGATTCCTCTCCTGCAAGGAGAAGGAGGGGGAATGTGGAGTGAAGGAGGAAATGAATGGGGCTTGAGAACATTCAAAGCAGAACTTGAATCCTGCTTCTGCCCTTGACAGCTGTATTAGCATGAAAAAATTGCTTTGCCAGTTTAGTTTTCTGGTCTGCAAATGGCTACCTTCTAATTCAAAAGGTTGTCGTGAGTATAAATGAGACCTTAAACAATGTCCTGGCACAAGGAATGCCTCACCTCTTCTCGTTTTTCCACATCACCCTTCCAGTTATAAGGCAATTAGAATGCAAAGAATAAGAGAAATGTAACTGGAGGGACTATGCATTAAAACAGTGGGCAGTGGGCCTCTCTTTCTGGTGGTGCAAGGGTTAAACACAGTGCTATCAAGCTGTTGGCAGCCACTGCAGCAGGAGGCCAGGTTGCAACCCATATGGCATGGCAGACCTCTCTTGTCTCACCTGCTGCTCCCCTCAGCAGTATATTTCAGTACATCTGCCTGTTCTGCTCCCTACTCTCACTGGTGAATCCTCTCACTCCCCACACCTCTGGCCTATACCCCAGTTCTTGTATGCGTAAATAAAACAAATCTTTAAAAAAAATAAAGCAGTGGGCAGAGCAAATGGGAGCAGAAGAGTATCTCAACAGAAGGAAGCTTTGAACAGGGTCTTGAAGGAAGTAATTAGAAATGGACTGGGTAAAACAAGCAATGAAAATGGATTCTGGTTTACTTTGTAAAATAGAGTTCAGATTCCAATAATTATTAAAAGTAATATCTTTCAACCCATAGGTTACAAGTAATTTCACAAGGTTTTTCTTTTCAATCCTCAAAGCAATCAGCAATTAACAACAGATGACAAAAGTAGAACCCAAATGTTATCTTTTTGGTAAACATTTGGTAAAAGCTTGACCAGAACGAACTCCCATTTCACTACAGTGTTCTATCTCTTTAAGCCAGGTCAGAATTCAGTGTGCCAAGATTTGAAAAACACTGCAATGGTGATGGGTAATTGTCCACTGGAGATCTGAGTTCACCCTTTTAAAGGAGAACTTTGATGCCCAGGAGCGTCTGCAAGCTGGGCACTGCGGTAACCAGTCCCTCCTGTGTCTTCGTGGGGCCACATGAATATCTTGCATTGAGACTGAGAGGAACTGATGTGTGTGCCTTTTCTGGATCAAGACAGTAAAGAGGCAAGTGCTGTCTTTACTTCTTCCCTGGCTTCTCCCTGTTAGGAGGAGAGGACCCTGAAATCTGAAGGGAATGTGTAGACACAAGATAAATGGATCCAAAGCCTCTGAGTCAGTCACTTCCTGAAGAAAAACTGCCCCTAGACCAGGATTACCAAGGGGACTAGTCTATAAGCAAGAAATAAACTTCTGAGTTATGTCACTGAAATCTCAGGCTTCATTGGCGCAGTTAATATTACTCTGAGTCAGTGTGCATTAAGAGATGGCATCTTCACAGTATATGCCCAGTCTTGAGCATGTTACAAGCTGGAATTTAACTACGAAATTAATTTTCAATTGTTTGAGGGCATAAAGGAGGAATTTGGAACAAATAAAAGAAAATATAGCTTAAACAGGAATTAATTGATTCTCTGGTATAACTTTATCTAGTCTGAAATACATGTTTATATTTCACATATAATGTATACATGATTTACACTTTTTTCTCATTACCTGTATACTACTTAACTACTAAAAAATATTAAGATATAATCAAAAAAGTAAAGTAGAAAAAGTAGGGTATCTGGCTAACACATTATTAGAAAATCACCTTGTAACAGTATAATTTACATAGAAAGGGGAGGTTCCAGGTTCCCTGCCCCACCCAAGGAAGGGTGTTGTTAAACAGTGAGGGGAAGCTAAAAAGGACTGGGATAGGACACCGAGAAAAAAACTTGGAGGAGGCAACTGGAGCAGAGAGACAAGTAAAGAAGTTGCATTTGCTTCCCAACCTTAGACTTGGACCAGGGACCTGGGGGACATGGAAAGAGATACGTAGAGTCAAAACATGTAGAGATACTTGGAACAGATGTGAGTGAGAGACTCATGGGGGGCTGGTAATGGCAGCTATTACCTTGATTTGTATTTTGATTTTGCTCCTTTCCTTCCACACTTGCCTGACCCTGTCTGCCCCTTTCCTATGGTTCCCCACCAGAAGTTGCCTTAGACTTATGGCGAGTTTTTGGGACTTAGCAGCCTGCTTTCAGCCAACTCTGTATGACTGGGCATTTACCCAAGAGGGGATGGGTAGCTTTGGGCGCTTCAGCGGGAGACTATTACCTTTTCTCTCTCCTCTCTCTCTATGCACATTATTCTATTAAAGTTCCTTCACACTAAGAGCA